CGACCCACGGCGTAGCTTACGCCGCTATTTTGCAGGGCCAGCCTTAGGGCACTGCAACCTATGTGACCGCAGTGGCCTCCTTATTTATCAGGAGCTTTTGGAAATTTCCTGAAATAGCAAAATATACGAAAAAGTCCTGGAAATCTCCGGAAATTATTAAAATCTTTTGAAATCTCATAAAAAATCTCCTTAATTGTGGAATCTGGTGAAAGAAGCTTAACTCGCTCCTCAAACTAATGAAGAATTACTTGAGGTCAACAATTCTCGAGATAGATTGAAACATTTAGTAATTCTTACTACTGGGCGTGATCTATGTAGGAAACAGAATTTTTATGATATACTGTATGACTTCGCCACACGCAAGGCTCGTAAAGTAATTCTTAAAATGCAAACTCTTAATTTTCACTTATTATCTGTATACCTACCCAAACTGGGCCTCGCGAAATCCGTTTCGCATAGGGCCCAACAATGGTTAAGTCCGGCCCTGCTATTTATTGACGGGTGAATACTACTTGTTCTCCACCCTCTTTTTTTTTTTCGCCGCTTAAATTACGTGGGGTAACTCTAGACCGACTCGCAGAAATAAAAGAGTGATCGTTCCATGACTTCTTGGTGGGGTCAGGAATGGTTGAGCCATGAAGACAATTAGATATAGAGATGTATTGAATATCGTTTTTATATTTTTCAAGGATAATGGAATAATTCAAATGTATTAACATTGGTAAGTATTTTGTTTCATGTAACTAATTTTTTTTTTAAAGTAACTTTGGAATAATGATTTGGCGCCAATTAAGTTGGCCGCCTGCGTGCATTGCACAATAGGTTGTAACATGTTTTCAAATAATTTAAAACCTCTATTTCTGATGTTCAACACCAACTAGATTGTCTAGAAAGCACCTTTTCTCATGTTCAACATCAACACTACAACCCAGGCCGTAAAGTTTGATATAAAGGTTTCCTAACATTTGTGACAATTTGTTGTTGTGCCTACACTGTTTCGATCATTGCAACACACATAGTCTTCTAGTTGCAAACAATTATTTCTTTCAATAAGAACCAAATGAGAAACTAGATAACTAATGAACTCCCCCTAGTTCTTCCATTGACGGTTGGACTAATGAGGACTGTGTAAGGTAGCATGCATGTCAACTCCTCATTGTTCACCTAGTGACCGGCATGCATGTCTTGTCGCAACCATTAGCAGCGCATCAGTAAGCTCCCTTGGTGGAGCTCCCAAATGCCAACCAGCCAGCACACGCTTTGCTCACTTTGAGTTATGAAGGCAGTCAACACCGTGCAGAGGTCAATCTTTACCTGTGTGATTTGTGGTGACACGCTAGGCCACGTGACCATGTCGCGTGTCGGAGGCAACGTGTCAGGTATTTGGATGACATTGCACTGACCTTAGTCTTATAGGCCCAATTAATGATCCTATCTATTTCACGGCTGGGCTAGTTATTAATAACTCCCAGCTCAGATTTAGGACAAGAGACGCTTTGGACGCTAACAATGATTTCACCGGCAGGTTACAAAGTGTACTATTTGATCTTGTTCTGAAGAGATCAAAACTAGAAATGTGGTGATGCTATCCACAAATAGTTTTGACGTTACATATGGGTCTTTGATCTTGATGTGTATATATAAAAATATATTTGTACAGAGTCTCTTGACCAATGAAACTAGATGTAAACAAATGTGGAATGAAAGTAATAGGTAGACATTTTTTCTTTGTTTTTAATGACTAGATTGAAATGGAGCGTTCAATGAAAGGAGAAAGTCAAAAGAGAAAGTGGAAAAGACACAAAGAAAGTGACTTGAAAACAAATGTTGAAATGTTCAGGAAATCTGGCTGCTTTCTGTCCATGTCCAGGGGCGTAACTAGGGGTTTGGGGGCCCGGGGGGATTGACCTCTTTAGGGGCTTGCATTTTGACGGACATATGACATGAGATAATGTACGCAAAAATATATAAGCCCAAAATCAAATTGGTTTAGTATATCAGTAAACTCACTCACAATTCTTAAAGACAACTTGCACCCATTAAACCACTGTTACATAAGATCTGAAAGAAGTGTTCGTCTCCTTTCCATTAGGACTAAAACTGAAAGATTAAAAAACTCCTTCATCCCACTTTCGGTAAGAGTGTTACAAGATCAGCTGTCGTCATCGAGAAGTACATAGAAGTCAAATTCATAAAGCGATGGTTTTGAATGTGTTTTCGTGTGTGAATGTTGTTCGAATTTTTAATCAATATTGTTTTTGTATAGTAGTTTCGCTGAGCTTGTCAATTGTAGTCAGACTGAATTTCCATTAGATTAGATCAATAAAAATTATCTTATCTTATCTTATTAAGACTCTTTTAAGGAATAATACCTTTGTTTATTAGTTAAATAATGCACAAGTGACAAATCTCAATTCATATCCCTTTACGTCGTGCATTCTGTGCAGCAAAGAAATCTATAACATCATTTACATCGATACTTTCTAGTATTTGTGACTTCACTGACATTAAAGCCATGATAAGCCTTTCTTGCGTCATTGTGCCCCTGAGATAGTTTTTGATGAACTTGAGCTTTGAGAATGATCTCACACATGACGTAATGGAAGTGGCCTGAGTTAGCGGTATTCGGAGGAGGTTGCAAGGTTTGAGCACACGTAATTACCATATGAAGCCTGTTTCCGCAATATGTCTATTGGTGATTGTATTACTGGTTTGTTGATGAAAAGTGCTCGTGCATCAATGACATCATTGAAAACGCGATTTGCCATTTATTTCATCATACAAACAGGAAAAGTAGCACAGTTTGTCATAAGCGTGTCTTCATCTAACAGGTGTCTTGGTTCAAGAAAAAACCCAAAGGTATCCATTTTCTTTCCAGCCTTTGGAATCTGTTCTTCATCTCCATATGAAATCTGTCGCAACACGTTTGAATTGCAGTTCTATTGACAGTCCTACATTAGAACTCAACTTCCCATCAAGTCTTTTCTTTCTTCTGGTTGTTTTGATTACAGGGAATCCATAGTATTCACTACCTTCTTTTGCTTTTTCAATGGATTGGGTTTTTGTCAGTTTCTCATCATTTTGCAGAAAGTATGAAAGGGTACTAATTTCCTCAGCAGCTTCCCGTATATGCAGCCCAGACTTTTGTAGTTTCTTCTGAACTATATTAATTGGGCGCAGTAGCTTTGACCAGAATTCAAGATATGCAAAAAATTCTTAATTTTCCACTGCATGAAGACGATTCTGCCAAATATTATATGATATTACGTCATTGTTGGTTGTTTATGTTTTGTGCGAAAGCAAAAGGATTCAGAGCATACAAAAGTGGGAAAGATCCATATCTCGTTATGCTCGAGTTTTGAAATACTCCGATAAGTGGACTGCCGTATTCACCATCACAATTGCTGACGAGCAGAAGACTCAGGGACATCATTCCAACTGATCCCAAACTATTGAAACCATCGGTAGCTGAAAATGCAGAAACATTACTCAACGAACGACAGATGAAAAGCATAGTGAAATACGATGCAAAAGCAAGACTACCTAAAGATTATTCTGTCCGAGAGTTCGTCTAGGTCAAACATGGCAGAAAGCAGTGATCATAAAAAAACATTCAGCACCCAGATCTTACATCATAAAGACAAACGATGGAAAAACATACAGAAGAAATCAACGCTTTTTGAATAAGAGTTTCGATGAAGACATCTCAGGGTACTAAGATACCGATGAAGAGAAAGAACTGCAAACTGTTGGAATAAACGAAACAGACAGTTATAGACCAACGTCTAGAGAACTTGTTATGCCAGTCAAGACAACCACAAGTGTACGAATTGTTAAAGTTCCGAGCAGATATCAGTCTTAAGAACTTTAAAAGGAAGGATGTGATAATAACTGCAAAAGGAAGGATGTGCTAATATTATATGATATTACGTCATTGTTTATGTTTTGTGGGAAAGCAAAAGGATTAGATGGAAATAAAAAGAGAGTTTCCATTGGATTGAGGAAAGATGATTGCAGATGCCATACACAACAGAAGCAGACAGAAGGGTGAAAATGCAACGGCGCCTGGTGATTATATATGCCCAACCTACGATCGCAGCGGTGTATCAAGGATTGGCCTCTTTAGTCACACAAGAAGTTGCAAAGGGAAAAGATCGTCTCTCGAGACGTAATATGCCACAGAGGAAAGATGAATATAGGGGGAAATAACTCGAGTGTGAAGTTTAATTCTGAAATTATAGACGCCAAACCCGAATAATGGACTATTCTAGCATTATTAAGAATAACTTTTGGATCTATTATACTCGACTCTGTAAATTTTGCTTCAAGGTTAATTAGTGTAGCCATAAAATACTCGCCATTCAGATATATTATTAGTAAAGGTAACAAGATACCTGGAATTCGCTGATTATCATGTAGTTTTATTCGTGGCAACAAAGTTTAAAATGTAAGACGAACTCCAAAAAAAACTTTGATCTCTGTGGGAAAAAATATTTTTAAAATGTCAACAAAGTCAACGTACTGATAGACCTAGATCTAGGTTTAGTGTCTTTGTTATAAATTTAATCCATAAATGTTGAAAAAAAAAAAGACAGCCGTTGACACTATTTGTCAATCAAATATATTTATTTATGTATTTACAAATAAATTTCGGACACCCATTTGGGGGACCCCCAGGGGGATCCTAAAATTCCCCCCCCCCCTTAGTTACGCCACTGTTCATGTCTAGAGATGACTGTTGTGATGCTTAGAGTTACGGTACTTGTTATGTCCATAGTTGACTGCTGTGATGTCTTGTTGATTGTTAAGGCCAGTTTTGTATACCATTAATAGGAGATAAGGCGATAATGAGCTAATACATAAACTGGACTCTATTGTTATATTTTTAAAGCTTCACTTGTGACAATGATTTCATAAACAAGTGCAATCAAAACAAAACTACCAGATTAAATTAAAACAAAACTCACAGCTACCAGATGACATAAAGACATAACTCAAGGTTTATATTTCAGTTGAATATTTATTTCAGAATGTGGAAACATTGTCTACCCTATGACAGCACTGCACAATGTGGCAGTCAAGGTGAGAAAAAAACAGCTCTAAGAAAGACAACACTGGACACAGTCATTCAAGATTAAGAGAGGTCTAACAACACATTACACATTCCTTTTTTTTTTATTAAATGTGAAGCATAAACTACTTGGACACATGACCAAAGCATTGGAACATTTTGAAGAGAAAAAAAGTCACATAATGTCATCTTGGAGTGCAGACAATTTTGTATGTGTGCGTGTGAATGTTGTTGTAAAGGTTGACCTTGACTTTCTGGATGACTTTGATTGATATTGATGACAAGGTCATAAGTTCAGCATGTTGGAGTCTATCCCATTGAACCCGAAGGATTTCATTCTCAAATGCATCTACCTATACCTATACCTACCTCAACATTAAGACTTGTCCCTGACAGAACTTCCAGCGTCTAGAGAGAAGTTTATTTATTAGCACAAAAGTCTAAGGCTGGGCAGTATGGAAATAGAGAGAGTATAGAGTTTTCCTAAGTGGTTCTACTGTACATACATTTGTATGGTCATTTAGTAGTGTAGTCTGACACTTATAATACTACAATAGACATGCTATAAGGTATGAGTCAACTAAAGTCTCTAACATTACATTGGGTAAACAGGTGTTGAAACATAAGTCTACTTATTGAGTAGTATGTGCCTGTGTGAGTGTGTTGGTGAATGTTTAAAAAAAAGGTTTACATTTTGTAACAAAACAAATTTCAAATAGAGACACAGTGTGTGCCTAAACGACAAGCAAGCAATAAATATAGTATCACAAGTATACACACAGAAATTATAAGGTCTAAGTATCATTTGTATACACTGAAATTATAAGGTCTAAGTAATTTGTGTACAACCAGAGAGTAAATAAATCTACAATATCACCAGCACAGACAGATGTAGACAAAAGTGATAAATAATTATTTATACACAAAGAAAACCTAAAGGTCTAGAGTATGATTTGTAGCAAACCAAAAGTGTAGAGACTTGGAATTGTGCTCACTGAAAGTCTTGAGACAGAACATGTTCTCACACAAGCAGACATATCACTAAGTCTTCATTACAGAACATGTTTTCACACAAGCTGACATATCACTAAGTCTTCATTACAGAACATGTTTTCACACAAGCTGACATATCACTAAGTCTTCATTACAGAACATGTTTTCACACAAGCTGACATATCACTAAGTCTTCAATACAGAACATGTTCTCACACAAGCAGACACATCACTAAGTCTTCAAGGCAGAACATGTTCGCACACAAGCAGACACATCACTAAGTCTTCAAGACAGAACATGTTCTCACACAAGCAGACATGTCACTATGTCTTCAAGACAGAACATGTTCTCACACAAGCTGACATATCACTATAGAAAGATAGCAAAGGCTAACAAAGTGTGTGGGGGGGGGGGGGGGTGAGGGGAATTTAATGACTCTGGAGTATTGAAATGTCTAAATGCACAAATTAAAACAACAATCAAAGCAAACACTAAGAAGTGCAATCAATAAAGTCACTATACAGGCAAATACAAAACAAAATTAATAGATTCATGTCTTACTTTGTACTGTACAGGAACTAGATAGATTCATGTCTTACTTTGTACTGTACATAAGCTGGCTAAATTCATGTTTTACTTTGTACTGTACATGAACTGGCTAGTTTCATGTCTTACTTGTACCAGACATTCCTAGTTTTCATTAATATAGACATTCCTGGGTTAGACAAAATTCACTTGAAATGTGCAAATAAAAAAAACAAAACACTCAGCCCCCTAAAAAGGACACACCTAGGCATATACCTATACAAATATGACTCAAACATTAGGCATATAATCATACAAATATGACACATACATCAAACATATAATCATACAAAGATGACTCATACATCAGACATAGTCATACAAATGACACATACATCGGGCATATAAATCATACAAATATGACACATACATCAGACATATAAATGATACAAATATGACACATACATCACATACATCAGACATATAATCATACAAATATGACTCATACATCAGACATATAGTCATACAAATATGACACATACATCAGGCATATAAATTATACAAATATGACACATACATCAGACATATAATCATACAAATATGACACATACATCGGGCATATATATCATACAAATATGACACCCATAAATTGAACACACAAATAGGACACATAAAGGCATATAAAACATATAAATATGACACAAATAGGACAGTGTCAAACAGTATTGACCAGTTTTATGGTAACTCTTAGACAATCGAGTGTGATCAAATAGATTACAAATAAATATCAAAACAATAGTATTGATATGACACTGTAGTGCACAATGTGCTGTGTAGGTGTAGCAATCTCAATGTGTTGCTGCGTAGGTGTAGCAATCTCAATGTGTTGCGTAGCATGTTGGTGTGTAGATGTAGGTTTAGCAATCTCAATGTGTTCTATACCATGTTGCTGTGTAGCATGATGGTGTGTAGGTGTAGGTTAAACAATCTCAATGTGATGTGTAGCATGTTGGTGTGTAGATGTAGGTTTAGCAATCTCAATGTGGTGTTAGGCGGAGATTAAGAAATCCCAGCTGGTGTCTTTGACATGATTCTTTGTTTATTGCACACAGCAGGCATTCTCTTTATCTTTCAATGTCAACTTCCCAGAAGAGATTTCTCTATCCAATAGTTCATCCTCCTCAATGCTACAGTTGGGATAATGAAAAGAAAACAACTGAGTATTCTAAACTTTGAGTTTTAAGACACTACAAGCTATACACTAAACTAGTGAAACATTTGTATAGAAGAGAATCAACGAAAGTGTTTGTTTGGTCTGGACCAACTTTCTAGCTTCCCCGACCTCAACATAGCAAAGGTCTGTCACAGCAAGTAGACAGTCGGTAGCGAACCTAGCCTCTGTCGGGTTACCTTAGTGGCATCCAACAAGACCACCATGCCATGGTTTTGTGGCCATTACAGAATAGGAAGACATCCCCAGCCTTCATGTAGAATTCAACAAAACACAGCGCAGTCTAAGCTCCTCTGTTTGTGTGATAAACAAAAACTTCAGACCTACTTGTGTCTGTGGTCTATGCAACAATAAGTTACACTTTCAATCACAGCTTCAAATTGTGATACATAGATATGGTAACAATGAGCTTCAATGCACTATTATGTTGCACTAGTTCAGCCAATAAACTCAAGTCTAAAACTAAAGTAATACTTACGCCCTCTCCTGTGTATCTAAATGCTGCACCAATTCATCACGTTTGTTGACAACAGTCACTAGTTCATCCAATAAAAGTCTCTCTCGTCGTTTTTGGGCATCCGTCTTCTGCCAGTCTACGCAAGAGAACATGGTAAAACAAAATAAACCGGCATTACAAGTAGCAGAAGTCTATGGAATCACATTGTACAAACACAGAGCATGCAGCGTTGAATAGAATCTAAACATTGAGTCCCCAAAATCTAACTACATTTTAATGGAACAACTCCATTTCCGTTCGAAACGTGAGAAAAAAAAAGGAATTTGCTTAGACAAGAATCTCAAGGTTCAATGAAGATGTCACCCACGAAACTTTTCGAATCACTCAGCCTGGTGTTAGGTAAGCAATGCAGGTTGAGAGGTTTCCACATTTTGACTCCAATGAACAATAGCTTGATATTTAAGTCTAACAACGATTTTGGTGTCTTTTTTTTTGGACAGATTGAAGGAGGACTAATTCTAGTAAAGAGCCAATATTATTTTTACAATACCTCTATTCAAGTGCACATTCGGAATGAATTTCATTCACCAATCGTAAACAAACAACATTTAGCCACAAGATATTATTGATAAAACAATGAAAAAAAAGTATCAAATGTTAGCCTTTATGGATTACGTAATTTGTATAGAAGAGATAGAGAATCACGTGGCTAAATGTTGTTTGTTTACGATTGGTAAATGAGGTCCATTGGCAAAACCGTCTGGGCAAAACCTAAAACCTGGATGGACAAGGATCTCGAAAACTATTTTCCTAGAAATTTGATTGATGTACATGGGAGAACTCTAGTTGGCCGCACTGGGAGAACTCTAGTTGGCCGCACTGGGAGAACTCTAGTTGGCCACACTGGGAGAACTCTAGTTGGCCACACTGGGAGAACTCTAGTTGGCCACACTGGAAGAACTCTAGTTGACCACGCCGGGAGAACTCTAGTTGGTCACGCCGGGAGAACTCTAGTTGGTCACGCCGGGAGAACTCTAGTTGGTCACGCCGGGAGAACTCTAGTTGGTCACGCCGGGAGAACTCTAGTTGGTCACGCTGGGAGAACTCTAGTTGGCCACGCTGGGAGAACTCTAGTTGGCCACGCTGGGAGAACTCTAGTTGGCCACATTGGGAGAACTCTAGTTGGCCACGCTGGGAGAACTCTAGTTGGCCACGCTGGGAGAACTCTAGTTGGCCACGCAGGGAGAACTCTAGTTGACCACGCCGGGAGAACTCTAGTTGGTCACGCCGGGAGAACTTTAGTTGGTCACGCCGGGAGAAATCTAGTTGGTCACGCCGGGAGAAATCTAGTTGGTCACGCCGGGAGAACTCTAGTTGGCCACGCTGTGAGAACTCTAGTTGGCCACACTGGGAGAACTCTAGTTGGCCACACTGGGAGAACTCTAGTTGGCCACACTGGGAGAACTCTAGTTGGCCACGCTGGGAGAAGTCTAGTTGGCCACGCTGGGAGAACTCTAGTTGGTCACGCTGGGAGAACTCTAGTTGGTCACACCGGGAACTCTAGTTGGCCACACTGGGAGAACTCTAGTTGGCCACACTGGGAGAACTCTAGTTGGCCACACTGGGAGAACTCTAGTTGGTCACGCTGGGAGAACTCTAGTTGGTCACGCCGGGAGAACTCTAGTTGGTCACGCCGGGAGAACTCTAGTTGGGCACGCCGGGAGAAATCTAGTTGGGCACGCTGGGAGAAGTCTAGTTGGGCACGCTGGGAGAAGTCTAGTTGGCCACATTGGGAGAACTCTAGTTGGCCACATTGGGAGAACTCTAGTTGGCCACGCTGGGAGAACTCTAGTTGGCCACGCTGGGAGAACTCTAGTTGGCCAGGCTGGGAGAACTCTAGTTGGCCACGCTGGGAGAACTCTAGTTGGTCACGCCGGGAGAACTCTAGTTGGTCACGCCGGGAGAAATCTAGTTGGTCACGCCGGGAGAAATCTAGTTGGCCACACTGGGAGAACTCTAGTTGGCCACACTGGGAGAACTCTAGTTGGCCACACTGGGAGAACTCTAGTTGACAACACCGGGAGAACTCTAGTTGGTCACGCCGGGAGAACTAAAGTTGGTCACGCCGGGAGAAATCTAGTTGGGCACGCCGGGAGAACTCTAGTTGGGCACGCTGGGAGAACTCTAGTTGGCCACGCTGGGAGAACTCTAGTTGGCCACGCTGGGAGAACTCTAGTTGGCCACGCTGGGAGAACTCTAGTTGGCCACGCTGGGAGAACTCTAGTTGGCCACGCTGGGAGAACTCTAGTTGGCCAGGCTGGGAGAACTCTAGTTGGCCACGCTGGGAGAACTCTAGTTGGTCACGCCGGGAGAACTCTAGTTGGTCACGCCGGGAGAAATCTAGTTGGTCACGCCGGGAGAAATCTAGTTGGCCACACTGGGAGAACTCTAGTTGGCCACACTGGTAGAACTCTAGTTGGCCACACTGGGAGAACTCTAGTTGACAACACCGGGAGAACTCTAGTTGGTCACGCCGGGAGAACTAAAGTTGGTCACGCCGGGAGAAATCTAGTTGGGCACGCCGGGAGAACTCTAGTTGGCCACGCTGGGAGAACTCTAGTTGGCCACGCTGGGAGAACTCTAGTTGGCCACGCTGGGAGAACTCTAGTTGGCCACGCTGGGAGAACTCTAGTTGGCCACGCAGGGAGAACTCTAGTTGGCCACGCAGGGAGAACTCTAGTTGGCCACACTGGGAGATTTCTAGTTGGCCACACTGGGAGAACTCTAGTTGGCTACACTGGGAGAACTCTAGTTGGCCACACCGAGAGAACTCTAGTTGGTCACGCTGGGAGAACTCTAGTTGGCCACGCTGGGAGAAATCTAGTTGGCCATGCTGGGAGAACTCTAGTTGGCCACGCTGGGAGAACTCTAGTTGGCCACGCAGGGAGAACTCTAGTTGGCCACGCAGGGAGAACTCTAGTTGGCCACACTGGGAGAACTCTAGTTGGCCACACTGGGAGAACTCTAGTTGGCCACACTGGGAGAACTCTAGTTGACAACACCGGCAGAACTCTAGTTGGTCACGCAGGGAGAACTCTAGTTGGTCACGCCGGGAGAAATCTAGTTGGGCACGCTGGGAGAACTCTAGTTGGTCACACTGGGAGAACTCTAGTTGGTCACGCCGGGAGAACTCTAGTTGGTCACGCCGGGAGAACTCTAGTTGGTCACGCCGGGAGAACTCTTGTTGGTCACGCCGGGAGAAATCTAGTTGGTCACGCCGGGAGAAATCTAGTTGGGCACGCTGGGAGAAGTCTAGTTGGCCACGCTGGGAGAACTCTAGTTGGCCACATTGGGAGAACTCTAGTTGGCCACGCTGGGAGAACTCTAGTTGTCCACGCTGGGAGAACTCTAGTTGGCCACGCTGGGAGAACTCTAGTTGGCCAGGCTGGGAGAACTCTAGTTGGCCACGCAGGGAGAACTCTAGTTGGCCACGCAGGGAGAACTCTAGTTGACCACGCCGGGAGAACTCTAGTTGGTCACGCCGGGAGAACTCT